TTTAATATGCACCGTTGACAGATGCACGTAAATGCATATCAATGCGTTTATAAAATGCATTCACTGTATCTTTGTCAGTTTTGTTTCTCTTTTTTAATTCTCTCTTCTCTCTCTCTCTCTCCTCTCTCTCTCTCTCTCTCTCTCTCTCTCTCTCTCTCTCTCTCTCATCTATTTTAATCTTTGTTCCAGGGAACGATCCTCGATCCTGATAGGAGCATACCTTGGGCACTGATGTCGTCTCCCGACCAGCGGTCTGCTTTAAAGAGTCAAACGTAAAGCTTCGCTAAAAGTCACAATTACACCTGGAAAAAAAGAACCTGTTCCGCAAAGGCTTTCAGGATGTTTGACTGTCCTGCGAGGTCATTTTTTAACCGAGGATCGGGTTGCAACTTTTAATACGTTGCAGCTTCTTCCCAATGTACAATTTGCCGACGTGCCTTCGTGCCTGGGAGAAAATTTAAGGTTGCATTTTACCGTAATTATCGAGAATCGCAGCTTCGGAATATACCACCGCGGGGTACCAGCGAGAGACGTACCAGTTAAATAAATGTTTCCGTACCGTGGGCACTCTGAACTCTGGAGTCAGGGGCGTAGAAAAGATGGGGTTTAAATTTTTTTTTGAAATTTCACTAGTTTTCCGTGTAACGTGAATTTTTTGGGTCTGACGAATTAAAGTTATCTTATGCAAGATATTATTAAAGTCATAATTACGCTTTTATCAATTATTGGTCGACCGCTCGATCATTTTTATAATCTGATGATCTTTGCTTTTTGAATTATACATTTTTCTTATAATTATCGATTCTCTTTATAACAAGGGTCAGCTCTATGTCGAGAAACTTGAACGGAATTCGGTCTGGACCGCCTCGAACCAATTGGGACCCAGTGAGGTTCGCGAGGATCTCGCAATCATAATTCTCTGGATTTATTACTTTTAATTAGTATTAAATTTAATTCACCGTCAAGCTTTTCTACGGGGTGGAGAACGTTACGCCGTAAGCGGGACACGTTTACATCGTGCAAATCGTATCTTTCGTTAGGATCGTTTTTTCTTAAATATGCCCACGCATCACCAAGATGATTCACGCTCGACTAAAACCCATTATGGACCCGTGTGACGTCCGAGGACGCAATCTGCAATATCAAGACTCTTATTCCATGGGTTGATGCAATTTTGTTGCATTTTCACTAGGAATTTCAAAAACGAGAAGAATCCTCGATACCATTATTTTCAATGATAAAAATCAGATCTATCATAAACATATGAAGCCGAGCATCGGTCGAAAAGGCTTATTAAGGAGAGAGTGAGTGGGATATAAAAAAATCATAAATTTTGAATAATTGTACAGCACGTCAGTTTCATTTACAAATATTCTCAAACGTATATTTATCTTTCGAACGCAGCATCCATTCGCGAGATTTATCAATAAACAGACATATTAATTTTCCGAAATAGAAATTGATATGAACCGCCTGGTTCGTATGAGTTATTCATCTTTCGTTATCCCATTGAAAACTAATCAAAACAGTGCAACTGTTCGCGCTCCGTAATGCAGTAGCTGCTATTGGCGGGTCTCAGGTTCGCACAGTATTGGCAAAGGCTACCGACCTGTCAGAGATAGATTATATTTCTCGGTAACTATGGTTGTTTATAGAAACATTTGTCTAGCGTTATTTATGCGCCTATCAAAATGTCTGCCCGGAGTAATCCAGCGTAAGCTGGCTTTGTGGGTTCCACGTTTCTCTCGAGCGGATCCGTCCTATCTCGAACGAAGACCTGGATTATGCATTTCGAATATGCACTCACGCGGGTCCACGTGTTGGTTGAGTATAGGTTTTATCATTTATTTTTTTTTTCTAAATTTTTTATTTTCATATTACCTTTATCGAAAACCCTCGTCCGGCCTCGATATCCGAACAAGCGTTGATCTCGATCTTCCGCCATGCATTTCAGTTCGCCGGTAGCCACGTTGCACTTGCCGCCTTCCCGGCGGACATGTAAAACGAGAAAGACTATATAAAAAAATAAACGTCAACGGCTTAAATCTGATTTAAGTCCCATACCGTGTCGCGAGGCTTGCCGAAAAAAAAGAATAAAAAAATAAAAGAAAGATAGAAGCTCTTGCCTAAGCTACCTTAAATTTACATCAAACGTGCTTTAATCCAGGAATCCTTTGCTCAACTTCTCTGCCTTCGTATCGTCTACCCTCGACTACACCTTTTTAATCTTGTTACGCACGCAAATGAAAATATTCGAAATTCAACCAATTTTGCTTTTACGTATCATTTTGTCAGTTTTTTTGACACTTTTAACTTCTCTCTTTTCTCTCTTTCTCGCCTTTATACCGATGCATAGTCGCTAATGTTATTTGTACCAAATAGGTGTATAACGAAAGCCTATGTTAAATTGAAATTTATCCCAAATAAATGGCATATAAATTTTATAAAGATGCCAACGATATATGGAGGTTCCAATGGTATAGTGAATTAGCAATCCTAGTGATATTTTCATTGAAGAATATTGGACTACAGTATTTTCATAGCTCAATTCTAGTTGGCTAGTGGCTAGCTGTAAAAGTTGCTGGATCGAGTAAGAGATTAAATAAAGTGAAAGCCAGCCCTAAGACCATGAAAAAGAACATAAAACAAAAGGAGGCCCTGTTTAATAAGATTATCGAGTCTCGAGGAGATTGTGTTGCCCGACTCTTGAGTATCGGATAGCGTAAGCTACCCAAGGGTGTTATGCTTATCCGAAGGTTGGTAGCATTGCTTTGAAATTTTTTGAAAATGGGACGATTCCACGTGATGAAAAATCAGAACAAAATTTTTCGAGTCAACTATACTTGCTTCGTTGTATATCTATACGTAAATAAAAGTAGGGTTCGAGTCTCGGCTAAATGCTGCTAGAGCTTAGACAACAATTTATAATCCCAATGTCCCGTAAAATGGTTCAAGTCGTGGAAAACTCTATTTTTCTACATAGATATCTTCCAAGTATCGCGCGACTTCATGGATACTGCCTCGAAGCGTAACTGTATTTACATTTTTATGATATTCATGAAACGACAGAATTCGAAGCGTCTTCATTTTTGGATCATTCGTCTTGAATGATTCAGTCTGTCAATAAAATTTATTTCTGTACAGGGAGACAAGATATATATTTTTTTTCTCGAAATTCAATGATCCTAAGGAAGAAGCAAACGTCGGGGATGGTTAACGGTGTCACGAGGGACGTTTGAAAAATAAAAAAAGGGTTGAAGGTACCGAAGTGGGATATACAGTGCAGTCTGATGTGCACGAAAGGTGTCTTTCCACGTGAATGCAGATTACGTAACGCGATTAATCCGACGATAAGAATTCTTTGAACATTTAGCGCCGCAGTACACGAAGAGTTCAGATCAGGCTTCTGCGTGGCGAATGGGATTAAATCTCAGCAGTGGCTCATCTCCGTAGTTAAATACCGTTGAATCCTTCTGGACCAGGTGCTTCCGTACCCCATAGGAATCGGTAATAAATAATATAAAAGTTGAAATAATTGTGAAAAAAATTCACTTCGATTCACTTGGTAAAATCTTTACGAGGATGATGCTGCATCTCAAATATATTACGTATAGCATATATACCCTATCTCGAGTGAAATTATTTTAACGCAGTTAAGCATTACTATAGTCAAATTTATCTTTCAATCTCCGACCGGATGATTTCGTAATTTCTCATCTTTTGCCAAAGTATTTTCTCATCGTTACCTGTACGTGACCTATTGTCTGTCTCGAGAACGAAAACTCATAGCCAGTCGAGATTTTACGGCCTACCGCGCTTAGGTACGTTACGGTGATTTCATTCCCGCATATGTATTCTTATTCGTACGGCATTCCACGTGCGCTCCAGAGCCTTTTAAATGCATCGTATTCATGCCCCATGCTGCTGAACCTTCCTCGGGCCGAACTTATGAATCATATAGGATGAAAATTTATCATGTAATATTTATCATGGTACGTACGACTCTGGCGGGTTTTGACACACGCGGCGTACAACTGTACGCACGTTAGATTCTGTATGGGAGGATGTGCCGAGTCGATTTATATTAAATCTTACATGCTTGCCAGTCGAGTAGTGCTGTACTTGAATTAAGGTAACGTGCTAAAGAATGCCATTGGCAAATGTCGAGGCCATTTTCAGAAAGCGTGACCATTCTTGAAATTGAACAAAAAGAATCTTGATTATTATCTTTTTTGTTACACAGTATATAGTGTGTCGTTAGTAGATTTCCAAGGTATAAAAAATTTTCCAAAAAAGTCCTTGTCCGTTACTTTAAAGGCGTATAATAAAGTCAATCGTCACTTTCAAATGGGAAGCTTCCATTAACGGCCGCTGGGGCGCTGGGAGCATAACGACTCGGGTACACAGTGTTTTGTAGAATTTTAAGAGCGCGAAGCATCGTGAAGAGTCTTTTCTTAGATTGTTTGAGAGCGTGTGGGATTTGATGCGCGTCAGTTGGCGCACTGTATTCCAAAACACCCTCTTATGCCTTCATACTTCACGAGCGAGGGCCGTCATCGTGGTTCAGGGCCGGAGGCCGACAAGAAAAGGATAACCGAACGGCTACGGGAAGTCAGTGCCGTAGCGATAGAAAATTATACGATGTCAGTAAAAATGAGCGCCATTGAGGTATTAACATAATTTAATTACATAGTAGCACATACATAATCTATGCCTTAACGGGTTCTGCGGACCTCACGCCTTGCTTCTTACCGGGCAAGAAGACTGGGGTGTTGAACTACCGTTTCTGGATTACTAAATTGCCTCGAGTCTATAACAATGACCCCTCAATTCTTAACGAAGATATTTTAGACCTTTTTTTTTATTCCTTCCACAATTTTCTACTTTTTATTGTTCCGCTTAAAGTCACACTCAGGACCAATAAAAACATTTTCATTATTTTTACCTCCAACCATTAGTCTCTACTGTGTCAATTTTTTAATGATTTTTTTTTTTAACAGATACCTCAACTACACCCAGGGGCACAATCGTCAATTCCTACTTGATCCGAAACAGCGTCTGATAAATGAATGAAGAGGATCGTCTTCACTTCGAGACCTGGTCCGAAGAGCTTTGCAGAAAATCAAGTCGACTTGATTTGAAGGGACCAGTACATCAGTGTATAGCTGAATAAATGGTCCAGCCCAGTCGACCAGGTCCATATTTCTTTGATCCCAAATCATTCTACCAGCTACCATGGTTACTGTGGGTTTCATGCAGGACCAGGTTTGTCAAGAGTCAATCCTTTTGTTCAGCCTCATAGGATTCTTGAGACTTGATCACGGAGTGTCAACGTATCCTTGCTTTTTATATAGGAAACAGCCTTTATTTCCTCTTGCAATTAAATAAACAGGTGTATAATGACTTGGAAATTATTGAAGCGACACGTGCAATCATTTCTATACACATTTAATGAATGATTAATCGATGCTGAGTTAAAAGGAGTCACGAGGGGGTTTAAAAAATTTTTTTTTATTTATCAAAAATATTAATTTAGACCTTGTACCTGAATATAAGAAATTGACTAGTGAACCGAACGAAAATCAATACGACTGATTGCTACGGGACTTATCGTTCGGCTCGATCAGATTGAATTCCTTGTACAGAATTGACGACGAATCCTGAATACGGACCACTTGGTCTTAATGGTTCCTAATTAGCATTCGCCGTGAATTCTCACGGGCGCTCAACGCGGACCCGAAGGTGCGAGTCTCTCGTGCGTTCAACGTCCGTGGGATCTTTCCTGCCGGTCGGTAAGGCAGGTTCGCTTCCAAGCTCCCCGGTACAGAATCATCGAATGATCTTTAGCCGATTGTAATTAACGTGTGCCACGGGGCCTGATTCTTCTCTCGAAATTTCCTAATGCCTTTCTGTCCCATAGTCGTTCGGTCAGTGAACGCTCATTTCTGGAACAGGATCCGTCCACGATGTATCCAGGCGTCTCAACACCTAACGGTTCTTAATTAACTTTCATTAACTAATCGGCCAGGACCTTATTGACCCCGCGTTACATTTTCTTGGCGAGTAGAGAGAAAGGGAGATTTGAGAAAAAAAAATGAAGGAGACAGTAATAAAAACGAGTGACTGCACGCGTCTTCCATAGAGACTCCGAAACTACTAATGACAGTATAAATTCGTGTATATGACCCCGAACGTTCAATGTTGTATCAAGGGGGTCAAGGGTCACTGTACAATCGTAAATTCCTGCCACGGCTGTATAAAGATGCTTCATAATTAACAGACTATTTACGGAAATATTCCTTTGCGCATCTCGTGTACCGACTGTACGTCCACCGAGATGATCCACGAAGAATAGTCACGAGCGCCAGCAAGTGCCGTGAAGTTTTCACAATACTTTTTATTCACGCGCCGGTGCGGCCATTACTTATCGTCACCTGACGTTCGCGGCACATCTGTTTAAATACATATATATACGACACCGGCTAGATCGCTCCTTTTAATTACAATTGCCAGAGTCCGGTTTGATCGTATATTATTTTTTATTTTTTTCAATTTATTTACATAACTCACGAGGGCCGCATTTCGGGAGGCTTAACAAAGGTCAAAGTGTACCGGGGACTTATCTCATAGTTTATGCCCACCATAACGTATCCAGGCACAAAGCCAGCCATTCGTCTCTAATCGAGCATATGTACACAAACTGAAGCATTAACACCACGTGCTATGCCTAACCTTGCCCAATGTGTGATTTTTATGGTTGAGCAGTGGGGGGGGGGGGCAGGGGTTGGTCCCCTAAAATAGAGACATTTGTTAACGCATACCCTGTTTTCTATTGGCATCGCGGCCCTTGTCCCCCCTTGCTGCCCTTATCCATCCATCCCAACCCCCGAGGCACCCCTCTTGTCCCACCCACTTCCTATCTGACACTTGATTTATTGTTCCAATTGTCATTACTGTAAAACCTGCTGTTACACCAAATGCGACCTATAGCGACTGTAGTCATCGGTTGGCAGCAGCGCACTATGCTTTTAGTAAGATCATTCTCATTACTATAATCGGTATTTCGTGCTACGTCATGCCTCTTGCTTTTCCTGCCTGCGCGCTCTAGGTATAGGGAGACGGACCGATGCGGAGTGTCGTGGTCGTCGATACGTTTGACGACGAGGTGCGTATTTGTGAGGGATAAATAGTAGGCTCCCTTCTTTAAAGTTTCTAGCTTGCACTTAGAAAGAGATTAGATTTTTGGTTCGGCTATGTGAACTTGGGTGTCGGCGGGCGCGTGAAATTCCTGCGTTCTCTCGAGAGCCAAGTGTCGACGCCCTTTTAAACGAGCCGAATGTACATATTTGAGTGGGAATTTCTGAGGAGTTGAAAGAAAAAATAGAATTTTTGTCGAGGAAGGGACGAGTGAAAAATGTCCGTATATACGCAGTGAGATTTATATAGCTGAGATGTACGTTTGCGGTGGTACGGTGCACGATTTTGAAAATGTGATGTGACAAACATTTAATACTTTTTCGATTGTGCATCAATTGTGCACAAATAAAAAGTATATCATATTTTAGAGGACATTAACAGAAGGTTGATGCAATAGGTATAGGGCAAGAAAAAAGAGTAGAGATGAGAAAAAAATTCATATGGATAGCATATATGTATAAGGGAGATACTTGCGTTTGAGATTTGGTTATTTTTTCATAGAGTTCCGATACTGAGGGCACGCCTTAGCTTCGTGCTGCAGCTTCATGCCGAGCATGAGGTTCGCAGTTGTCTTGAGGTTGCTGTTCAGTCAGACTCAAACAGTACATGGTGACTACAACGTGTTGCAATGCTATTCTTTTTATTAACAGGTGGAAGTCTATATATTTCATTTTGGATTCTACGTGTTCATCGTCCTAGAGTGCCTACGAGAGTCTTTGGAAATTGGAGTGTTCCTGATCGTAGCCTTTGTAACCTTCGAAACTTTACACGCTCCTCGTTGCAGCCTTAGAGGCCGCGATTCTGTTCGCAACCTTTGCAACTTACAGGGGGCAAGGAACGAGAATTTAAGACGTGCATTTTTGCGAGGAACATCTTTTTTAGTTTCGGAAAATTCCGCCAGATGTCGCTGTTAAGCACCTGCGGTAGTTCCGGAAAATTCCGTTAGAGGGCGTGGAACGACAATTTGCCAAATTATCTCCTAAAAATGCATTTTCGCGGGGAGCATTTTCTTTTAGTTCCGGAAAATTCCGCCAGATGTCGCTGTTAAGCACCTGCGGTAGTTCCGGAAAATTCCGTTAGAGGGCGTGGAACGACAATTTGCCAAATTATCTCCTAAAAATGCATTTTCGCGGGGAACATTTTCTTTTAGTTCCGGAAAATTCCGCCAGATGTCGCTGTTAAGCACCTGCGGTAGTTCCGGAAAATTCCGTTAGAGGGCGTGGAACGACAATTTGCCAAATTATCTCCTAAAAATGCATTTTCGCGGGGAACATTTTCTTTTAGTTCCGGAAAATTCCGCCAGATGTCGCTGTTAAGCACCTGCGGTAGTTCCGGAAAATTCCGTTAGAGGGCGTGGAACGACAATTTGCCAAATTATCTCCTAAAAATGCATTTTCGCGGGGAACATTTTCTTTTAGTTCCGGAAAATTCCGCCAGATGTCGCTGTTAAGCACCTGCGGTAGTTCCGGAAAATTCCGTTAGAGGGCGTGGAACGACAATTTGCCAAATTATCTCCTAAAAATGCATTTTCGCGGGGAACATTTTCTTTTAGTTCCGGAAAATTCCGCCAGATGTCGCTGTTAAGCACCTGCGGTAGTTCCGGAAAATTCCGTTAGAGGGCGTGGAACGACAATTTGCCAAATTATCTCCTAAAAATGCATTTTCGCGGGGAACATTTTCTTTTAGTTCCGGAAAATTCCGCCAGATGTCGCTGTTAAGCACCTGCGGTAGTTCCGGAAAATTCCGTTAGAGGGCGTGGAACGACAATTTGCCAAATTATCTCCTAAAAATGCATTTTCGCGGGGAACATTTTCTTTTAGTTCCGGAAAATTCCGCCAGATGTCGCTGTTAAGCACCTGCGGTAGTTCCGGAAAATTCCGTTAGAGGGCGTGGAACGACAATTTGCCAAATTATCTCCTAAAAATGCATTTTCGCGGGGAACATTTTCTTTTAGTTCCGGAAAATTCCGCCAGATGTCGCTGTTAAGCACCTGCGGTAGTTCCGGAAAATTCCGTTAGAGGGCGTGGAACGACAATTTGCCAAATTATCTCCTAAAAATGCATTTTCGCGGGGAACATTTTCTTTTAGTTCCGGAAAATTCCGCCAGATGTCGCTGTTAAGCACCTGCGGTAGTTCCGGAAAATTCCGTTAGAGGGCGTGGAACGACAATTTGCCAAATTATCTCCTAAAAATGCATTTTCGCGGGGAGCATTTTCTTTTAGTTCCGGAAAATTCCGCCAGATGTCGCTGTTAAGCACCTGCGGTAGTTCCGGAAAATTCCGTTAGAGGGCGTGGAACGACAATTTGCCAAATTATCTCCTAAAAATGCATTTTCGCGGGGAGCATTTTCTTTTAGTTCCGGAAAATTCCGCGAGATGTCGCTGTTAAGCGCCTGCAGTAGTTCCGGAAAATTCCGCTGGTGCCGGAAGGCTGTTGAGGCTGCGTCCAAGAAGGCTCCAAATGACAAGGACTCCCGTAGACTCTAAAGTCTACGACGAGGAACACATACATAGAACCCAGAAAAGGATATGTAGACTTCCAACTTGCAATAGAGAAGAAGAAGTATTGCAATACGTTTTATCCACCGTATATGAATGGCATCTGACTGAACGGATACCTCAAGCCAAAGGCGAATCGCGTGATCGGCATGAAGCTGCTACAGGAAGCTAAGCCGTTTCCACCAGTCCTAGGAAATCTGTGAAAAACATACATACCATTTCCAAACACGAATATCTCCCTTATTACGTATGCCAGCCGTACGAACAGTTTCTTCATAAATTTTTTGTCCTACTCTACGATTTTGGTGAATTAAACTTTTTTTCGTGATCATTTGAAATCACAAAGATTTTTTTTATTTGCAGACAATAACAACAATAATAATATATGCAATCGATGCGCAATAAAAGAATATTCAATGCTTGTCGCATCAGATTTTCAAAATGGTGCACCGGGTTTCACCGCAAACCGCAAACGTGCGTCTTAGCTGACACACGCTGTATATAATTCTTTCCATTATTTTTTTTCCAATATACGTACACGTTAGTATCTCAATGTCCGCGCGGAGAAAC